AATTTATATATAGTTTTAATATATTATGCTATTCACCAAGTACATGCCAATCCTCTAAATATAAGATACTGACTTTAGAAAAATTACTTTCAATAATCAGAAAGAAAGTGAAAAAAAAAAACACTTTCACTCCTAAGGTGCCTATCAGTCAAATGAGATGAATTAATTTCAGTGACAGACTACAAAATTTCATTGCAAAAGGGCCAGAGGTTCTGTAATTCAAATCCTAAAAACCATATAGGTTTCTTAGATATACTCATATTACTTTGAACTTACTCTGAGCAGGATAATGACTACATTACTACTAGAATGCATCACTATACTGATTGTAGACATAAAAACAGTATTTATGCAAAGCATAACTAACATTACAAAATAATCAGTGATAAATCACAACCATTACTAAATGGTTACATCAGAAACAAAAGAAAACAAAATCCAATACCTTTTCTTTTATTGCTTCTTGAGTGAAAAGTGCTTTCTTCCTTTCTTGTTCAACTTTCATTTTCTCCATTTCTAACTGACTAGTCAATAGTGTCTAATGGAGGAAAATAAAGTTAGATAATTCTTATGATTCTAATTCATGCTATCAAAATAAGTCAATCTCAAAGTGAGGAGCATAAAATATGTATTCCTAGTTGGTTTATTATTAAAGATGAAATTCCAAAAGCAATGGTATCACCCTTTTCTTCTTGGTCTCTCATTAGTATGCCATCATCCCCCAACCATTCTCTAATGTAAGCCATAAGATGTGAGCAAACACTCACAGAAGTACCTTTTCTTTCCTTGTCTCTTCAAGTGTTCTTACATATTCATCTTTTAGGTTTTCTAATTCAACCTTGCACCTATTAAACCAGAGGGAATTAAACAAAACAAACAAGATGATGGTATAGACTATTTTTTTGTGTGTGTATCACCATTATTGCTATCCTTTTCCAAAATATTTAATAATACAGACTATTAAAAACTATTTTATATATTCTAGGCACATATCCAGTAGTACTTTACATTACAAGCTCTACATCAGTGATTTTCCAACTGTATTCTACAGATCATCTGGCTTCCACTCAACCAAACTACAAGTGAAAACCTCCACTTTCATTCATTTTATTGGTGTACCGGATTAAAATTTCATTTGAAAAAGATTTTCTAAAAATAATTCCCAATACCACTATACTGAAGTATTCTGAAAATCTTATTAGCAGGTTCTATGGAAATGTTTGTAAAAGTTCAGATAATTTACTCTATGAATTATTTCTACCTATTTTTCTTAAAAGCAAAATTTCCAAGAACTCAGAGGACAAAAACATTCTTAATGCTGCTTTGTTGTAATTTCAGACAGATGAATTTTACAACTTGTAAGTTTCAAAGAATCCAGACATTTACTTAGATAAGCTGGTTTGTTGTTGTTTGCCGTCGAGTAGGCCCCAACTCATAGCGACCCCTCCTTGGGTTTCCGAGGCAGTATCACTACGGAAGTAGGATTGCCCAACCTTCCTTCCGAGGAGTGGCTGGTGGGTTTGAACCGCCAGCCTTCTGGTTAGCAGTCAAGTGCCTTAGGCACTATGCTACCAAAGCTGGTTTAAGCACTGCTAAAACCTCGCTCTGGTAGCATAGTGGCTAAGATACTTGCCTGCTAACCAGACGGCTGGCGGTTCAAACCCACCAGCCACTCCTCGGAAGGAAGGTTGGGCAATCCTACTTCCGTAGTGATACTGCCTCGGAAACCCAAGGAGGGGTCGCTATGAGTCGGGTTTGACTCAACGGCACATAACAACAACAACAAAACCTCGCTAATATAAAAATAAGTTCAATGAATGATCATACATTTTCATGGTAGAGGCCCTTTTGAAAAATTGATTAAAGTTACAAATCCTTTGCCTGGAAAAATGCACAAACACACAAAATATGGCACACAATTCAAAACCCAATGTAAGATTTAGTGAATTCTAACACTATCATGCTATAATATCTTATTACAATGATCCCAACTTTCAACACTGAAAGTATTTATTTTTAGTTTTCAGTGCTAGGAAACTTAGAGCAAACAGTATTCTTTAAAAAAATGCTTCAGAATGACACAAAACTACCAAAAATAGCACTCAAGAAAATATACTCACCAATTATTTTCATCCTCCAGTTTTCTTAGCTTATTTTTCTCAGATTCTAGCTGGGCCTGAAACCTACTATTTTCTTGTCTTAAAAGAGAATTTTGTGATTCCATAGAAGACATTTGAATTTTGTTGGCAAGAAGTTCTTCTGTAGCTGCACGTTCTCTTTCAACTGCTGCTGCCAACAAGGTCTGGGATTCAGCTGATTGTAGGATAAGAAAAAAAAAAAAAAAAA